GGGGCTGAGGCTTAAAGCGAGCAACACACCCAGGCCCTGGCTTCAGTCTGATTCTGTACAGAGAAAGGACTCACCCCTGCACTGGGGTGCAGGACCACTCCACACCAGGTTCTCCCCATCGTCAGAGGTGCAGTAGATGGAGGCATCCCCGATGAGGGACAGACCCTCGGCACAGCTGTACGTCACCTCTGCACCATAGGGGAACTGCTCCTGTCCAACACCAGAGTGCTGCCCATTGGTGATTTGGGGAGGGGGGTCACAGACTGTGGAGTAAAGAAAATTGATAAGAAAAAAGACATGCACGGTTGACATATTCAGGCGATAATAAAAATAACTTCCGGAAAATCACTACAAGAGTTACAAGATTTCTTCTCAGCACTGCATTACACACACCTTTATCACAAAACGGTAACGGGGGAGCCCAGCTCGCATCAGCCTGACACTCGGTCAGGTCCTGGCCCCTGAGGGTATAGCCCGAATCACACGCCAGCCGCAGTCGGGTCCCAACTGTGTAGTCCTTTTTGCTTTTATAAATCTCTCTTCCATGAGCAGTTTCTGGCTTTGGGCAACGAGGTTCTAGAAAATACAGAAAACAAAGGATGTCTTGTATTTTCAGAAAGAACTACAGTGAAGATGCTTCCTATGGAGAAGACAGTTATCAAGAACGTCTGAACCACAGAAAAAAGGTGACTCTGATCCAGACATGGGTCTCAACACTCCCTGTGTAACACCAAAGGAGTTTCTGCTTCTGCAAGAATATTTTTCTGAGGCTGTTGGGAAAGACCCATGCTGCAGGGCTGGGTCTGTGCACCGTTACGGTCACAGAGACTGCGGGCCCTGCTTTGCCACTGAGCATCTCACGGGCTCTAACGCTGTGAGGTGGAGCAGGTTCTTTCCTCCTGGCAAGGTTTTTCTGAGCTTTTGGGCTCAGCCTGCTTCCAGTAGCTCACTGATAATTAATATGGTGCCCCATTGCCAGGTCATTAGTTTCAGCAGCATCAGCTATTTATGCTGTTGCACTTTCTTCTGAAGGGAGAAATGCATCTAGAACATTCTCTGCTCTCCAGCCTCACGTCAGCAAACAGCCCAGCTGCTGGCCAAAGCACAAACCACATCTGCTCCCAGCTGGGTAAACGTCTCCTGGGCTTCCTAGGAACCTTCAAAAACCCTCTAAAACCTACCAGTACCCTCCTTCCCATCCCACCTCCCCAGAGACTTGCTCATCTCCCTCACACAACCCTGTATTTTCCCCACAGCAATCCAGCAGTCCACACATAGGTTTTTCTGCAAGTATCAGCAGACAACTACACTGTATGGAGTGACACAAACCTTTGCAGTCAAAAATAAGCAGTCGCCAAGCCAACACGTTCACCAAGGCTCCCCTACCTGGAGTGCACTCCGGTACTGCTGGATCCCATCTCCCATCGCTTGTGCACTGAAGCACAACGTTATTGCCATGGCCTTTAAAGGCATAGCCATCGTTACACGTAATTTCCAGTCTGTCTCCATACATATAATCGGCTTTAACTTCCCATATACGTAAGGGCTTTCCGTTCCTGATGTCTGGATTTGGGCAATGAACTCCTAAGAAATGTCAAACGTTAGCAAGTGTGAAAGCATGGCAAAGCCAGCCGGGTAACAGGAGATTCATTGTAAACAGAGGGATGAACACCCTGTGAGAGACACATCGCAACACTAAATCTGCCCCAAGACCATCCCTGGGTGCTCCTGGAGTGTCTGGAAGGGGCTCTGCAACTGCAACCTCCCCTTGGATGGAGCACAGAGCCCCATCAACACTGCAGAGGCTTATTCCACAGGTTCAAGGGACTGGGAAGCATAGCTGGTGAATAAAATAGAAAAAAAACCTGTGGTTGGGGAACAAATCAAGAGTCACAGCAAAGTCCAGGGACATGCCAAGCTGGGCACTGGGAGCATCCTCCTCTCATCCCTGCCCTGCGATCTGCACAACAGCAGAACACATTTGGTTTCTTCATTTGGGAATAATTTTACCAAATCCCCAGGGTAAGCAAGCTGAGGGATCGTACACTCACTTTCACAGGGATGTGGAGTTTCGGTCCATGTAAAATCCGGCAGACACTTGATGTGCCATGTGGTTTCCCCTGGGCTGAACTGGTGGCCCTCCTTACACTCGTAGGTAATGACAGTCTCCACAGGGAACAGATTGCCAGCAAGTTTGGTTTTCACAGCATTGTACACATCTGGAGGGTCGTCACAGCTGCCTGGGAATGAAATACCGACTTAAGTACATTGCCAGTGACAAAGCAGTGAGGCCCACAGTGGTACGTGACATAACGGAGAGAATTTGGGGGAAAAGGCTGTGCTCACATTGTTCTTTCTCAATGCACTTAATCATCTGAGTTCATAATGCTAAAGAATGAGTGCAAAGGAGACAAATGAAAACATATGAATAATTTTGGCCTGCATGGTAATTTTCACTGTGATAACAAGATGTAATTTCTAATAAAGTTTACACTGTCTGAGGCTCTGCCAACAACCTTTAAAAATACTAAGGTCAAATTAGATCCTTTGAATTCTACCAAGAAATGTTCACCAGTTTGAAGGGGACACAGATTTAGTCTCTATGGCCCCAAGTCAGAAATTCCTAAGGTCACCTTAGTGCCACAGAGAGATCAGCCAAAAAAAAAAAAAAAAAAAGGCAAAAAAGTTAAATCTTGGAGCCATGACGTTCTTAGATGGGCGAGAACTTCACCAAAGCAAACTTGCTAGGCCAGGAGCTGCGAGGGCCCCGCACTTACTGAGCTGACAGCGCGGCAGCGGGGGGTCCCAATGGCCATTTTTGTTGCACGTGGAGGCGTCGCTGCCGTTCATGGTGTAGCGGAAGGCGCAGTCGAGGACGACGGTGTCCCTGTAGCTGTACTCAGCCCGGTACCCACTCAGCAGCTTCCCGTTGGCCACGCTTGGCTGCTCACAGTGAACCACTGCGTCAGGGAAACACCACCGCTTAGGAAATCAGCAGTTGCGTTAATTAAAAACATTGTCCGAGCATAAGACACGTTCACTAAGAAGGCTGGAAGCAGGCTGGTAGCAGGCTGACGTGACATTTTTGTACACCTTTCTCCATTTTACAGTATTTTTTTGTCATTTCACATTTTTTATTAAGGCAAAGCGTAAAAAGAACACCAGGAAGGCAGCAGGCATCCCAGGAGGTTTCCAAATTCTCACCAGCGCACACCTCACCTGTGTGTGGGATCCGCTCACCTTTGCACTCCGGAGCTGGCCTGCTCCAGACACCGTTGATGCCGTCTGTGGTGGTACAGAAGATGGAGGCATCTCCCACCAGTGAGAAGGGTCTCTCTCCCCTTCGGACAGTGTGGCACCGGTAGGTGACGGATGTCCCGTATTCAAAGAGCTCTTTGCCAGCTCCGTTGTGCTCCCCATTTGCAATTTCTGGAGGGGGTGAACATGGTATGGCTGGGGAGGGGGGAGAAATGGTGAAGGGAGGGAGGGACAAGAGAGAAAGAATTTAATTAGAAATCATAGAATAGAATCATTTAGGTTAGAACAAACCTCTAAGATCAACCATTAACCTAACCATGCCAAGTCCACCACTAAACCATGTCCTCCCTAAGTGCCACATCCACACGTTTTCTGAACACCTCCAGGGATGGTGACATTTAAGCAGCAGATCAACCGAGGAACTCTACTCACGCTCGCAGATGGGAATCTCTCTGTCCCACGTAACAGCCCCATTTTTAAGAACACACTGAATTTGAGAATTTCCCACCAGTCTGTACCTGCATGAAATAGGGGAGAGGAAATTACTCAGCAAACTCGGTTTTGAGGTATAACATCACCATCAGATGGTTTTGGCTTCCTGGACCAAAAATTTGCCATCAATATCATTTTTTCAAGGACACATTGGCTTTCAACAAAAGCATTTTTAAAATAAATAATTTTTTTAAAGGAATAATGTCTACTCTAACAGCCAGCTGTAGCTATCACTACAGCTCTGAGTTCAGTATTCATGTATTTTCTGCAAAAAGATACTGAAACATTGGAAATGGTCTAGAAAGGGCCAGGAGAGTTCAGGAAGAACTGCCTCAAAGTACAAAATTAAGAAAACTCAGCCAGTTTTAAAACTGCCAAAGGAAAGCTTAAAATATATTTCAGTCATCACAGGCTTTAATCAAGAGGAAAGAGACTTCAGAAAAATGGCCAGAGAAGAAGACGACCTGTGTCCTGAACTCTCCTTGCTTACCCAGCATTGCAGGTGAAGTAAAAAGAACCAAAAGTGAACTTTTCTGCTAGGACGAGCCTCCCGTTGGCCGGCTCTCCAGGGTAGATGCACGTCTTTGCTAGGGGGCAACAGGACTGCAGTTAGCTCTTATTGCAGTTTCTTGAAGAATCGGGAAAATGCAGCAGAAAGCAGAGGACTCCCCCAATACTAAGCAAGGGCCAGAGACCTCCAAGACTTCCTCTCCAACCCTAAATCACTGCAGTCACCGCAGTCTAAGCGGGGTTTTGCAGTAACCGTGGCAAGCACAACAGCCTTTCTGTGCAGCTTAAGTGTTCTCCTACCACAAGTTTTAAATACTTTTTTTGAAACAAAAGTTACAAAGTGCCTGAGTAGAATAACATCCTTTGAGTCACCAATCAAACACAGCATCAAAGCAGATTTCAGCTTCTGCCATCATGGCCAGTACTTAGCGGAATACAACTGGTGCTTTATGTCAGGTCGCTCATGGATACTTTGGACGCTGCTCCAACAAAATGAGCTGAGAGCATCAGTGAATAAAAAACCCAAAGTCAACCCAAAACATACTCACGTATACACATCTCCTCTGACCCATGCCACCTATTGTTCCTTCCACAAACCAGGGTGTTTCGGGATTCAGTGCGTCTCACGTAGCCTGGACGACAGACATATTCCACCACTGTATTGGGGCGAAACGTGGTCATGCCACGGTATTGCTCTTTGGGTTCTGCAGATGGGAGACGTGGCGGAGCGTCGCAGGCACCTACAGGCAGAAACCCCATCAGACATACACTGGCAGGAAAAGCAGTGCAAGTTCAGGCCTGGTTTACTCTGAAGGTCCAGGTGAGGACACTTTGGTGGCCTTAAAACTCCTTAAAACTACAAAAAAGAGGAGAAGCACAGTCGGTGATGGGGGCTGGCTGGGATGGCAGGGACAGAAGAGGAGCATCACCCCACGAGGTCCTGTTCCCTCCTCACACCTCATTCAGCAGTTTCAAAGGCTCATCACAAAGTCCAGATGAACTCCTTCCTCTCTCCAGTTAGGATAAGTCACTGCACCTTTTTCAGTAGGAATAATTTGATGGCAGTTTCACACAGAAAAGAAAAAAAAGGCAAAGGAAGACGGATTCTGATCACAAAGATTTACAACGTTCTCAAAATGAAAAGGCAATGAGGAAATGAGAAGGGTCCAAGTCCCGTGAGCCCCAGGAGAAGGTTTTCCTTTGAGGCATGTTAGTTCATTGCGACAGACTCATTCACTTACCCTGCACAGCCACAATATGAGCAGCAGTGAGGAACAACCCAAGGACAGTGGCCCGATCTCTCTGCCTCCCCAGCATCTTTCTTTATTCCAGCCTCCCTGTCCGGAGGTCCCGTAGAAGTTACCACATTCTTTTTGCAGGCCAAATATCTGTAAAAATAGCAGGGGGGGTATTTACACACAGGAGAGTCTTAGAAGTATTTGCTCTTGGAAGCAAATTCATAGTCAGATTAAATCCTGCCAGAGTCAATACAGCCCCCTTACAAATTATACGCACAGAGGGAGAGAAGAGTATCTAACCAGAAAGATACAACAGATTTGTGCAAAGAATATCAGCTGGAGTAAAGCTATAAAGCATACAAGTCATTCAGGAGACTGAATTGCTTTACAACATGGAATTCAAGTGCAAATTGGACTGACCAGGGACCCCTAGAGATCAGCAAGAGGCCTCTCTGACTTTGTTATCCAGGACCATAATTTATGAGCCTAAACCCTCCCAACATTAGGTATGGTCCAAGTGCCTACCTTCCTCTTGGAAATGAGAAAGTCTCGATGCTTTCTGCCCTAGAACTAACACTTCTTCTGGCTGTTTCATCCCTCTGGCTTTCCTTCAAGCCTTGCTACAGCTCTTGGTTTAATTTGATTTAATTTACTAATCTTTGTGCCTGCTAGAGTTGCAGGAAAGCACCAATCCAATTCTCAAGAGCAACATCACCTAGAGCCATATTGCTTGAAGCAATCTTACCTGGAGGTCTGGCAGCAGGATATGGAGGCACCCGGTGTGTTCAGCTCTCACAAGACAAAGCAAAGACCACCCCGATCCAGTCCTCCCGGCCCTGGGCACCACAGCGCTGAAGGAGGAGTCACGGTATATCTACACACTCAGATACGGCTGCATGCAAAAAAGTTTGAATTCTGCAGAAACCAGAGTTGTGCCACTTGACCCATAAATCATTAACTCCTCCTCTGAGCGAGAAGGAAGTCGTTTATTCAGCCCACAAAGAGAAGCATTAGAAAACTGAATGCAACCCAGGCAGATGTTGAAATTGTTTGCTGTCTGTGTGGAGCTGCCAACTCTTTGTTGAAATGATCCCTGCGGAGCAGGACGCTCCCGTTCCACCCTGCAGCAACAGCACCCAAATGCTGCCGGTCCTCAGGTGATGCACGCTACGAGAGACACCTCAAGAGGACCCTAGAACACGTCAACTATGAACTCATCCCTTCTGATGAGTTCTCAAAACGCTATGGACAGCGTTCAAAATATGGTTTCTTCAACCAGCTCCTCCCAGTGCCATTAAAGCAGCACCAGCGAGAGCTCAGCAGCACACCAGATCCCAGGGAGCACCCAGCTGCCCTTTGTCTCATTAAGAGCACTTCCCGAATCCGACGGTCGCTGCTGGGTCATTTTCCAGTAACAAGGGTTCTGGCTGATGTTGTAACCATTTACTGCTTTTTTTTGCATGGCTTCATCCAGGCTTGAATCCTCATCAAAAGCCTGGCAGTGGCCTCATTACTCTGGGCTGTGCTTCTCACAGGTATTGGTTTGTTCTGCCAAATCTGAGGAGGTTTTTTTGCCAGAAATATTTACCGCATCCCTCCACTGAATAGGATGTATCACCTTGCTGAAGTTCACCCGAGTCCATGCCAAAATGCAGTGAAAAAGATTGAATTTTGGCTCTGTAAAGCACAACACAAGGCTGCCTGCCCTCACCCCACAAGCACGGCCTTGCTCACAACAAGCCCCTTGTCACCCCCAAGCAGGCACTGACCTCCACCAAATATGTACAAGAATTCAGTTAATCGCAAATACAAACATAGGCTTTCTAGATGTATTTTTTTCCAGGTAACTCAGAACAAGCTGATTCATGTGCTGAAAAACCAGCAGCTTCCCTGCGGGCACCAAATGCTTCCCACACACTCTCCTGAATTCCCCATTATCTCCCCAAACCAGCACACAACAGCTACTTACAGCAAACAATAATGGAAGGTAACAAAGGAAACTAAATCTATTATTTTTCTTAAAATCTCTTTATTGTAAATAAATGCTGATGTGATATTTATGCTCAAGCACACAGAGTACACAACATACAGCACAAGTTTACACACATTGCATGTTTTTCTAAACCTAAAAAACCATTAGAAAGCACTAACACAGCAAAATTGCAAGTCAATGTGTAACATCTGTCTCAGTAAATGCAAATAGAGATGCAAACAGTGTCCAAAAGACAGAGGAGCAGTGGGAGAGGTGGAGGTGGCATCAACAGCAGAGATGGAGCAGATTTTGCTGGAGTGATCATTTTTCTCTAAAATGCCCCAGAATGCTCTCAGGGCAGCCACCGCTCATTGAAGGTGTCAGCGGCCACCACCACATCTGTGCTAGAAACAGACGGGCAGAAAGTCAGGGAAACAGAGAAAAAACACCGCTCAAAGGCTCTTCCAAATTCCTGCTTTGCCTGCCCAGCCCAGATGCTGGCTCCAGTCCAACTGACAGCACCAACTGCTGCTCATCCTCAGTTCAGGCTCATTGTGCAACTATTGTTTATTCGGGGGTATTTGCATGCAGGGTGCCAAGGAAATCAGGTGATTTCAAGGAAATATCTGGCACGGGGACCTGTCAGCACGATTGAGGCGGGGGAGATGCCACTGTCAGGTAGGATTCACCCACATGGCAACACTGATAACCCCAAATCTGCTGCTGCTCTGCTCTAGACACGTGCATTTACACCTTCAGAAAGTAAAAATGCAGGGGGAAAGGCTGTCATTAGACTTTAAATTAAAGCACCGAGGCACAACTGCTGCTGTCTGCAAGGGCGGTCAAGAGGCTCGATTCCAGCACAGCCCAAGCAAGGACCCACTCGATAGCAACGAGGGACCCCACAGCCAGTGACCCAAAACCCACACGATTTCTAGCAGTGATTAAACAATTACGACTGCTAACACAGTAGCAGCTACATTCATGAATCCTGGCAGGTAAAAATACATATTTTTTTGTCTCCTTACAACCACTAACCACCCAAGGACACAAATACAATTAACTCCTTCACAAGTAACAACAGCATAGTGTGCGTAAACATCCTACAGTACGTTTCTACTCCATTTTCAAGGTTTCTCAGCAGGAGCAGCCAGTCCAATGCAAGTTTGTGCGTTTAGACCATTACTGGAGAGTGACAGTGAGAATTACCACACAATGGCTAGAAATGTCTTCCTTCAACTTTTTTTTTTTCTGGCTTACTTCTAAGTGCTGTGACATTTAAAAGGAAAGAGACAGTGCTGCTCTTGCCAACCTGTGCCCCAGTGGGAATGGCCCGAGGAACAAAACTAATAAAACTCAGCTTCTCACCTGCTGCATTTCCTCCCTCCACATCGCAATAATTTCTTTACATCGATGCATGTTTCTGCTCCACATAAATCCTAAGAGGCCTGGATTAGTGCCTGGGCCTTCACTGTGACCCTTTATTTCCACTTTATCAAATTAAAGCTCTTGGGAGTGTTTAAAACAACAGAGTTTGAGCTAAAAATCCCCAGGCAAACCTCAGGCTTTGCAGGTGCTGAGCTCCGCCACAGCCAGGGCATCGGCATTTCTAGAGCACAGATCCCTACTGGCCAACGTTTATTTATTCATTTAAAGCAACCCCGGTCCCAGAAATGGCTCATATAAATCCTGGAGTCACTGGAAACAGCCTCCTGCTTCATACCTAAATGCTTCTTTCTTCACCTTGCCCTTTAGTGCAAGAATGGGAGGAGTGAGGTAAAATGGAGTTTGGCAAAAAAACGGAGTTTGGAAAAACATGAGTCAAGACTCAGGGCAGAAAACCGTAAATTTGGGGTATTGCTTACTCTGCACCTCGGCAGGGGATTTAGGTAACACGCAGCCATTGCACGAGCTGTGCCACAGGAGCGTTTCATCATCTATGCACTAAATACTAAAGCAGTTTAAACTCCGTTAAAGGCAGTATTATACATCAGACATTCACAGCTTATTCATAAGCAAGTTTTAAAACTTGTTGTGGGCCTAAAATCTGGTACGATAAAAAGACAACTGGTAAAAATCCTGTGCTTTTGCAAACCCTGCACACGTGGTCCCGCTGTTCTCAGACACCCAGCAAAGGATGCTCTGATTTTCTTTCCTAATAGATAAACGCATCCACAAAAACAAGGAAAAGTGCGTTTTGTGGGGACCATTTTGTCCTCATATGCAGTTAATTTTGCCATCTAACCAGGAGGAAAGACATGGGATGCTATTTTAACGCCCCAGAAAGGCCAAGGATACATTAGCTCACACCTATTAAAAGCAGGTTGAAAAAGAGTCCATAATAAATTTTTTCCAACCCCTCCAACAGACGTTTCAGTGTTCAGAAAACACAGACACAGCAGACGAGCATCACATTTGAGAGGAGAGGAGTGTCCAAAGCGGCGCAGGGCTCACTGTGCTCCAGGGATGCTCCACTCCCAGCATCGGGGCTCGTCCCAGCCACGGAAATCCCAGCCGAATCCGAGATGAAAGCGCAAACCTCTACACCGTTAAAGCAGCCATCCTCTGCAAATAAAAAAGGAATGACAGAGGTTACACCGTGCATCAGTCAGGAGATGGTAAAGCAGGGGACAGCGGAGCTCAGCACTGAATGGACAGACACTGCAGAACCAGTGGCAGAGGATCCAACCAGCTCCACAAAATCGTTATATCCCACAATAACCATCTGAAGATTTACTGATTTACTCCTATGCAAGCAGATAAGAAGCTGCTTCACAGTTCGCATTGTCCGTTAACCCCTGCAAAGGCCCGCACCAGCGGGTCCCAGTCTCAGCCTGGGACCAGACAAGCTCCTTTACTGGAACATTGGCAGGAGGCAGGCAATGACGAAGCAGGTTGGTTACCCAGGATCACTGCTTTTATTTGTCTTCTCCATAGGAAAGTACACACTCAGGACAAACGTAAGAAACATCACAGTAATAATAAATACAATATAAGTACAATAAATACTTAGTTTTGATAAAACTCCTTCCACTGCCTCACCAAGGGTCATTGCAGGTGAATTATGGATTTACAAATGCAGTCACACCAGTTCAAATCCGACAGCCAGGACTTCTTACAGTTACTGTTCATGTAGTGAGCACAGAAAATATTCAAGGCTCCAGCTTATGGTGCCCAGCGCCTGCTCTGCTCAGCTGCCGCACTTCTAGGTGCCGCAAACCCACGCGTAAATCCATGTGTGCAATTTGTCTGGTCACCTAACCCCCAGTTTTGCAATAAAAAAAAACAACTGGCACAGCTATGGAGTCAATTCACTGACAATTAACAGCAGTCATCAACATTTAAAATCCAACAGTCAGGAAATCCAGACACTACATATCTTCTATTTGCAATTAAGAAAACAAATGAATAAGTATATAGCTAAACAGCTTTCCTGACACTTAAAAAGTAACCATCATCAGGCAGAGGTAAGTCATAACAGCTGCTTCCATGCTACTTTGTTCAGCAAAACACCAGCACTATGAAGGAAGGTTTGTACTGGAATCGAGGAAGTTGGACAGTTATCTCCATTTCTCTGCAAACCCTCCCAGGAAGTTATTTGTTTAAATATAGGATAAAAACACTTGAAGCAGAGCATTAGAAAAGTAATTTTGCAAAGCTGGAATATGTATTCGTTTTCTAAACACACAGCTCCTTTTGGCTCAGAGTAAAGGCAAATCCAAAGGGGCAAGGGTTTGATTTTTATCCTAGGGATAACCTTCCTCTGATTTGATCCTACATTAATATTGCTCAGTGTAGGAAAAATTATTTACCGGATTTATCACAAGCACCCCCAGCTCAGATTCTTTCTCCTTTTCCTCTCATCTTCAACACTAAGGCCTCTGAAACCCAGGCAGCCAGGCAGTTTGAGGAGAAACGCTCCCTTCTGGCATCGCTGCTGGTGGGACCATTCCTGGTTGATGGGGGAGATGCCCCACAGCTCAATGCTTTGTGCATTTCTGCGGCTTTGGCAGGACATTATTTTTTAATTAAAATTGCTATCACTAACTAGAGACTAGGAGACAGAGGCATGTCACTGCAGCATCAATCCCACACCTTTGTATCCCATGAACTGTGTATAAGTAGCGGCGACAGAGAAAGATGGGGCAGTTTCATTGGGAAAATCATTAGAAGAGCTTCAGTGCAAGGACAAAGTGCAATTAAAAAGCTGCACATCCAAATTGCTAAACACATTCAAGCAGCAGTTTCTCAGGCCTGAAGCAACCCTACCTGGGCAGGGCTGGGAGCTGCGCCCATCGCTGCGAGGCCACCCAAAGCCTCTGAGGACACAGCCTGTGCCACCTCTGAGTCCACTCTTGGGCACCATCACTCTCAGGTGCTCCCCAGCACCACCTGCAGCTCCCAAAGATAGGTGAAAGCAGCTGGGGGTCACCCCAGCATGCAGGGACAAGGAAGGTGCAGAGCTGATCACCAGCCCCATGCAGGTACCCTGGGCCCCCACAAAGAGCACCTGAACTGCAGAGAAACTCTTACAAGACAAAAAACACCAGTGTTGCATGTACTGCAGGAGGCGAACACCCTATAAGCCTAGCGAGGGGTGCAGTGGGGTCTGCCACAGCCACCAGCACAGCAGGGACACGGGGACAGGCCTCAGGAGTGCGGTGAAGCGAGGGCATCACTGGGATTTCTGTGCAGGGCAGCAGCCACGGCCTCATCCCAGCCCCCTACTTGGGGTCCGAAAGGGACGCCAAGTCCTCACAGGTGACGCTGGCTGCTGGCTCCCTGCAGAGGCGGGACAGACAAGGACACGTTGTCGCCTCAGCATGGGAGAAAGGCAGTCCTGCTCTCTTTGCTCTTAAGATGCCTCCAAGGGGACGTGACAGCAAGGACACAGTGACAACTGCCACTGGTTTATCCACCCAGATGTTTCCCAAGCACACATCAAAGCCACCCAGCGCCCACGAGTCACCAAGGGCCGGGGCTAAGCAGCTCCGCTCCCATCCTGGCTATGACCCAACAGTTCCTGCAAAATGCCTGCGATCGGCATCATCCCCACACCCCGGCCCAGGCAGAGAGATGACATCAGTGGGGCCCACTCAGTACACACGACAAGGCTCTGCCCTGCAGCACCAGCGTGGAACATGCCAACCAACTGGGCCAGAAACGTAGCAAGCATGTTATTGCACAGCAAAAGGCATCCTTGCCGCTCCACACATTTGTTCTTCCCCAGTGTAGTTTCCATGCAATATTAATCAAGAGAAATCCTACTTACTAAAGCCACAGAGAGCACAGAGAAGCTGCTTTCAGTGGTACTCACAGGCAAGCATTTCCCCCTTGAGGCTGCAAAGGAAAGAGAAACAGCACAGGATAGCTCATAGTGTGTTTTAAAGATTTAAAAGTGAAAGTAAAAGCAGCAAAGCAAATCAGGACAGAAGTGAAGCAACCCCAAAGATTTCACATTGGGGAGCGCAGGGCGGGCTGTATGGCAACAGGAGATGGGCATGGCACGAACATTGCGGGCTGTGGCACCCGGCTACCTCCTGCTTTGCTGCTCATCCCAAGAGCTTCATTCAGGCGAGAGGTCCCAGCACAGCGTGATTCCCCATCCCATTCTTGGATTCTAAAGAATCCAGTAGTATTTTATTTTTAAAGAGCTTTGGTAATGATGGCTTTCTCTGCACGACAGCCCAGCCAAGACTCCTTCAAAGTCCACCACACAGCTCCTCTCTGCCTGCCTGGGGTCTCCCAGGCACAGAAAAACTCCTAATTTAGCAGAAAAACAATTTTAAACAAGCAGAGAAACAAATGGGATTTCGCATGCAACACTGATGGAGACCTAGGTGCTTTCAAGCTAAAAGAGATGCCAAGCACCGAAACCGAAACTGCTTTAATGCAGGCACCCAAGGAGCCCAAATTTTGCTCCACAAGCTGCTGATATTGGGATATGCACAGAAACGGGCACTGACAAAAATCACAGACACAAAGACCCCTACCCAGCTGCTCTGGGGCTGGCGCAACACTTGGCTGCAGCACCAAAGCAGGACAAAGAGGGTATTTGCAACTCTTCCCATTTTTTTTTCCAGAAAGCAAGACATTAGCCAGAATTAACCACTTGACCAAAGCCCTGTTGCGCTGATGGAAACTCGTCTGCATGAAGCCTAATTTTTAAAGTCTCTGGCACCACAATTCTAGCTTAATGGGGAGACTTTCGGGTTTTGTGTTTTTTGTTTTGTTTGGTTTGGTTTTTTTTGTAAGGGAATCAAATCCAAAATTATTTTCATGCGGGAACAGGAGATGGCATCCAAGCCCCAGGGAAAGGGCTGTATTTCCGAGACCACCGACCATGGCAGGTGATGATGGGGAGGGGGGCAGAGGGAAGGTACCACTGGACACCCACTTGCAGCTGCGGCTGCTCAGCCCCATCTTGAGCTTCCAGGGATGAGCAAGGCCCCAGCTGTGGGTCGAGGAGTTTGCTCCCGAGGCTGTAATGTCGTGGGCGCTTTACCGTGTCCACGCTGGCCCGCGGTGTAAAGCTGTTCCTCTGCATCCTGCCGGGGGTTTGGCTGGCGGGCAGGGTGCTCTGGTCCTGGCCGGGTAAGGTGTGGCAAGGAACAGAGAGGGGAAGCAGAGTTTAACACCAGGTCTCGCACCTCCAGCATCCCCACCCACAGGCACCCCTACGCTCTCAGGGCTGCGGCTCCACAAACCCCACACCTGTCTGCGCCGCTGCCTTCCCCACTGAGCATCACAATGGGAAAGGAGCAGCTCTGTTGGTTCATCTGGCTCAGAGTCCACCAAAAAGTCTGCTTTTTTAGCAGTTTTACTTCCTTTTGGGACTTATTTGTGTTTCTTCTCTCTCAAAGCAGCTGCATTGCCCAAGCAAAGCGAAGAGCAACAGGAGCAGCCTCTGACTCCTCCAAATGGGCAGCATCACCTCAACACAGGCATCGCACAGGGGCCAAAGCAATCAATGCCCAATGGGAAACCACCAGAACGGGACTAGCCACAAAAATCTCGCAGAATGTCCTGTTGCGCACTTTGCATCCAGTTGGGTTTAGCTCTGCAAACCCAGAGCAGGTTCCTGACTTCTCCATCCCTCATTCATGGTCCCCAGGGAAAGGGACTCCTTTACATTGGGAGACAAAAATCACCAGAACATCAGCTAATAGCTCTTTATAAAATGCAATGACAAGAGGCAGCTAAAAGCCTAAATACACAAAAAAAAGAATTAAAATGCAATGCACTTAGATTTGTCATGAGCTGTGAAAGTGGACAGCTACTTTGTGCTCTTCAGTTGGAGGTGTTAATTGCAGGCAATTGCTGCATTCAGGTTTTTTCATTTGCAAAAGCCAGCGCCTGAAATTGCAGCAACTCCCACAGTTTTGCAGTTTTGTGGACAGGCAGTTCCCTCAGCCAGGATTTCACACACAGAGCCAGTGCCAGCCCGCAGCATTTCCCCTGCTGCTGCAATGAGATTCTCAGCGCGAGGGAGGGGAACTGGACCAAACTCCCTCCACTCTAATAAAGTTTAGCAACACCAGGGGCTTGTAAAGGATTTGTAAAAGACACAGGAAATCTGCTGGGATTAGGGAAAAACCTTCGCTCCTCCCAGCCCGGTCCCTAAGGGTGGCAAACGCAGCCCCAGAGTCCAGCCTTACCCTGCCTGCAGCTTCAGAAGGAGAAACCTCATCAAGACCATGAGAAAAATTCACTTTAAACATCGTGGCAAGTCTTTCCGAAATTATCGCAATTAAAGCAAATGAGCATCAACAACGAACACCGGAATTTAAAGTGTGCATCCTGCATTTGCCCATTCTGCTTCCCAGAATAGCTCTGAAGAATTTCTCCCCCTGGTTGGGAAGCACAGTAACTCAGCCTACAATTAATCCTGCTTTTGGGGATTGGATTTTTAGGATTCCTGCACAGAAAGACTTACCGAGTTCAGGGAGGGTTTGTCACGGTGGGTGTTCACGGCCTCCACATTCAGGGTAATCGTCTCCACTTTACAGCCTTTACCATGAAGAAAGAGAAGCTTATATGAGGAAGGGCACATTATTAAATATTGAAAACAGCATGGGAAGTGAGCAGGAATAAATTTGTTTTGTTTTTTGATAATAAAGATCACAAATAAACAGTTCACTCTATGTTTACACTTTAACTACTTTCTGGCTTTGACCCTCTCTGCAGAAGGGCTGCCCTGTGTTATGTGCACTACAGGTCTATACAAAAAAGCCATTTTTAACTGCTTGCAGCTCAGAGCCGAATCAGTGCAGGCGAAATCCACAACCATTAAGAGAGGCCACAGGAGAACACATCCACATTCACACCTCCTCTCTCTGTGTCCCCCCAAAACCTTCCCACACTCCAGTGCTGTAGTTTAATATACATTAAAAATATATTTACAGCAAGTGCTGCCACACACAGACACAAACTGGTCCATCAGATGCACACACACACACAAACCAGGAAAAATTAAAAATAAACCCAGTATTTACCGTATGCAACAGGCGTGAGCTTGAGGATGGTGTGGAGGGGGCAGCGCAGGTAGGGCAGCTCATCTAGGGCAGAGGTGGGTGTTATGGGGGGCATGACAGCTACCCCCGTCTCCCCGGGCTTGAGGTGGGCCCTTTGCCACAGCAAATGTTGAACACCAACCGCAGCCCCCCTATGCCCCGACTGCCCTCCCCAGCCCTGCAAAGTTTATTAACTTTATTGAAAGTTTTATTAAACTCCAGTACTGCTCACTGGGGCTTCATAAAGGAGCTTGCAGCAGACTGGAACCGGTTCCCAGGCCAGCCAGCCACGCTGAATTATATGACTAAATACAGAATTTATGACTCATTACAGAATTAATCCTAAAGTCATTTGGTTGAAAAAGACCTCTAAGACCATTGAGCCCAACCATAACCTGTCCACTAAAGACAGTTATGTAGCACTATTGCCAATCCTTCACACACTACTGATGCATCCAAAAATGTTTTCTTTACATTAAAAAGTAATCCCCTAGAGACTGTGTAAATGGGCAAAACAGCTCCAGAAACAACGGCTGAGCAGAAACCAGCAAGGCACGCATCTGCGTTTCTCACAGAGCTTCTTGCAAAGCTCCATGTGCTCCTGAAATGCAATGGTTAAAGCGCTTCAGAAAGCACTTTGTTTTCTTTTTTTAAGCAGCCCTTCCATTGTGAAAAATCAAAACAGTAATTACAAGCCACCCTCCCAAAAGCTCTGCAAAGGAAGCAGTGAGAGAAGCCAGCCCCTAAAACCGTGCATTTATTTTTGTACCTGCGCTCTTGTCAAGAAAATAAGCCAAGAGGCACCTCATAACCGCCTGGTGGGAGATAACCAGGACATTGCCCTGGCGCTCCAGCTCCATAATTACCGGCTCCAGACGCTGGACCAAGTCCTGGTAGGACTGAAAAACAAACCAGAAATTTTTCAAGGCATTTTGTAAACAGCGGCTTAAAGCAGAAGTAGCAATTACACAGCTTCGCATCCAGGGAAATATCAGTTAAAATATCAAAAAGCAGAAGTTATGGATGAGCCAGTAAATACGGGGGAAAAAAGCAAAGAGCAGAAAGTGAATTTAATGTCAGCAACCCTCAGATTACAGAAGGGTTGAGATTACTGGTAGCTCTTAATGAGTACTGCAAGAAAAACAAACAAAATAGTAAATTATCACAGAATCACAACAGGGTTGTGAAGTAAAATGAGAAATGACTCCATACCACATCCACAATAATTTTCTTTCCAAGATGATTTTTCAGTGACAGGTCAGGCCAAACGAGCAAGACACAGAAACCCATCTGTGTCAGAAGCAAGCACCAATGGGCTCAGCAAGAAGCCAAATTAACAGGATTGAAAGGCATTGTTTGCCCACCACAATAAAAGAAATCAATAAACCTTCCTCTAAGAGAGAATTGAGGATGCTCATGTTTTCAGTTTCTCATCCAAATATTAGCAGGAAAAGTTAAAATTAAGTAAACTCCTTCAATGGTACACATGTATTTGTTTTACGTATGCTGTATCTTGTTATTTGGTAAGGGTCTTCACCTCGCCTCCAGGATAACGATAAAGATATTTCTCTTGGTCCCTCAAGGCAAACTCGTCTGGATACTTGGCTTCAATCTCCGCATAGGTCATTTCTTCACACACCCCCTGAACGAAGAAGAACCCATCAGTCACACCACACTTCAACAGAGGTACAATGTGAAAACAGCAAGGGGCTGCAATCAGCAATGCCATTAGGTGACGAAAATTTTTGTTATTGTAACAGACCCAGACACACACCCAGGGCTTGTGCACCACACGCCCAGGGGAGTTTGAAAAGGATGGGGCTTCTGGTTTTATTTCAAACCCCTCAATTTGCCATAGATGAAACCGAGTGCTCATTTCCACAGCAACAATCCTGCAATTTCTTTTGCCTGGAAGAATTAGAGTGGGAGCAGCAACATTTGTCCACTCAGGCTGGTGTCACAGCTGTGGTGACAATCACCTGGGATGTTCAGGGTTATTTTCTTTCTATTCTATTTATTTTTATTTTACTTTAATTCTCTCTGAACCTTCACAGTAAAGTCCAGCAGCTCCAGGCATTGCCTACCCCATAACAAACCTCAAAATGATGGCTGGAGTACACTATACTCCAACATGGTTATAAATGAATGGGAAGTAATCAGGTTTATCACAGTTAATTTGTTTTTAAATGTTATTCTCCCTCTAGAAAAGCTACAATCAGCATTTCACTCACAGCATCGATCTCATTGAGAATCTTCCACTGCTCGTACGTGACCCCCAGTGACTCAGCCGTCTGGATCGTCCTTTTTAGCTGGCTGGTCCACACCTTCAGGTCAACGATTTCCTGCTCTTCAATGAACTTCTTCAGCGCCTGAGCAAACTAAGAAAACAGATGGCGGGGTCAGGAGGGAGCAGGAGCTGCTGCCGGTCAGAGCATCACTGCAAGGGCTGTAGCGGTCGCGGCAGATCCAGCTGCAGGGCTGCCCCTCACGAGGGGGATGCAGAGCCCAGCTCTGGCCCTGGTCACACAACGCTTTACACACACAGCGACCCGGCCGCTGCGGACACATACCTGCTTCCCGCGCGGCGACAGACCAGAGTCCCCACCAATCTTGCCAACAAGGTTATAGTCACTCTCACCGTGTCGGCAAAGGTAGATGGTACGCGGCTGGACATGAATGTTCATTAGGTAATAGACGATTTTACTCTGGATGTAATCCTGGACTCTGTTTACTAGGAACCGCTGGCCCACATTGATCACTTTAATGAAGGAAAGATCTCTGGAGTCAACATAAAATAAGAACACCCACACGACCGGTTTTAAAAATGAAGAACGTGCATCTGCGGGTGTAATCTAGCTATTTATCCTCTAGTAAAGGCATCAGCACTACTGCTGGGTCGCTTCAGCAGACAGAAGAGACACTGAACTGCTGGGCTTAAACAAGGAGCTGCATTACGCTAGAGAAAAATTCTTTCAAATCCCCTGGGACTTGAGAAAACCACCTTCACACAAGCAACTGCATTTCAGGAGGCTCCAGCAGATGCGTTACAGCATCCTGAGTCAGCAAACAGCAGCAACAAAGCAGAGCAGCTCATGTGTGCAAGGCCAAAATGCACCCCAGGGCTTTGCTTACTTGTCATATGCATCAGGATCGAGAGGCTGGTAAGTGACCTTGTAGCACTCGATCCTCTTCAGGAAATCATCCATCACGTTCTCCCGGTTTCTCTCTGGGTAGTCAGGGCTGGAAACTTTCACCTCCTGATCAACAGACAGCAACGCTTTGTGAGAGATAAGTAAACTCAACACGGAGCAAAAGCAACGCTGAATAACATTCTTCACTTTTGAAACAAATAAGCATTGTCTAACAGTGCCCTGTGGAAAAATCTGCTCCTGAGGAGGAAACAAAGGGCGACTCTGAAGGCGCTGTAGTGCTTGGCCCTGCGACAGACACAGCTGGCTCACAGTTAGCTGGCCCTGCAAGCCACTTGCTGCCTGCTCTCCCTTGGCGTGAACACACGCTTCAAGGTCAAGCATTTCTCAGCTTCATCTGATCTCCATGTTCTCACATAACTAACTGCATCTCTAGCTTTTATAAACCTGCAGACCATAGCTGCTTATTTCCAAGGTGAAATGTAAAGGCATTTGCAGACATTCCCGAGAGCTACCGTAGTGGTGACCTTGCACCGAGCTCCCCAGCTCTCATGGGAGGCACTGGCAGCCAAGTCTGGAAAATGTGGCACGCACCAGGATGTTGGCAGCGATGACTTCGGGATCGTCACAGACAGACTCCACAAAAAACACCTACGAAGAAAGCAAGGGAGCGTATTTCAGAACCTTACCCTGAATCAAAACTCAAGAGCTCCTGCGCCAGGGAGAGCAGG